AATGAGTAGGAGTAGGATTGTTCAAAACAGCAACGCCTAGTGAAGGAATCTAAATAACGGCAAGCTCTATATCGGTTGGATGTATGCCCTTGTAAACAATCTGGAAAACGAAATACAATCAAAGTTTTACTACAGTGGATGTATTTTAATACTGGAATCAAAATGTAATTTGTATTCAAATGAAGGCAGCAATAATGATTAGTAAATCATATGCAACTGTATTCAACTGTATTAATGAAGGCAACAACAACTGTATTGAAGTTTCAATTAACCAAATATGCAGCAGTATTAATGAGAATAACAGCAACTGTATTCAGCTGTATGCAGATGTTGTAGCAACTGTATGCAACTGTATGCAGCATTAATGATTAGTAAATTGTAAAGTAGCCACGACAAATTGTATATACCATGTTTCTCTTGTCATTGAACATGTTGTTCATCAGATAAGCAAAGTTTGGTTGATTTTCGGTGGTTGTCCAATTGAGTATTCTGGGGACCACGTTATCAACTCGGAGTGCAATTTTGGGATCAACATTTTAACAACACTTATAAAACCACACTTGCATAGCTAGGGGCATCCCAGCTATCCTGTAATACTTCTTCTGAGCATCCATCTTCTTGCTACTAGATTTTGTCAGCGTTTCAAATGTTTTTAAACCCCATGGGTATTTAGAATAGCGCCCACTCTCGACCAAGTCAAAATGTAGCCTGGGTATGGTTGTGATGTTCTTCTCGGATGAAAAAAATGAAGGTGTGTATGAAATACAACAAAGCTATATTCAATGCATCACCATCGTTGTCGTGACCCCAGTTCTTGTCAGCAAAGCATTTCATCAAATATTTCTTCTTGACAAGATTTGCACCTCCAAAGTAAGTCTAAATAAGCTAGTTAGGAACATCTTCACTGAACTCAAAATCAGCATCGTTACCAACACATTTGAGGCCAGTCACAAGCGCAAACTCCCTTATTGAGAAAGATAATGAAGTACTATTGACGTGTATAGCAAATACATTGTCAGGAGTTCCTTCTAACTGGAGAGCCATGAAGCATCTGAAGAGTTGATGTTGGACTTCACAACACTTCATTTGAAGGAAATTTCCAAAACAAGTATTACCCAATTGGTTGTACTGCTCTGGAGAAAGATTTTCTTTTAGCTCAGAGAATATGTCAGTGTTAGTATATACACTGATATGCGGTGTAAATATAGGCTGTTTTTCACAAACAACTTAATTCCCTGCATTTAACAAATGTAAAATACATATAAATACAACATATATTTCATATATACAACTAACATGAATAGATATGAATAGAACTAAAATCAACTTAATACAACACATATTTTCATAGTAAGCTGAATACAACACATATGTCATAATACAACTGAAATGAATACAACACATTTTTCATAAGCCAACTTACATGAATACATCTGAATACAACTGAAAACTATAAATATATATGAATATAACTGACAACTATAAATACATATGAATACAATTGACAACTATAAATACATATGAATACAACTAACATGAAAATCCTTATAAATACAACTATAAGAATACATCATAATAGAATTGACAAATCTGTATTATTAATTTCTATAAGTACAAAAATACATTGAATACCCTTTTTGAATAGAGAACTCAACCGTTGTATACATATAAATACATATGAATACATCAATAATACAGATGAATACTTCATAAAATACCTTTTTTCAAGTGTATCCGAGCTTTTACTTGTTTCAACCTCCTTCCCCTTGACAGATAAAGCTGGAGAAATATGTTTTTTCCTCTTTTCCGCAATGCGAAGTCTTGTTTCCTTCAATGATTTCTCGACTTGGATTTGTTTGAAATTGTCATGTCGAGATTTTGTTCTCTTCTCCAATGCCAAATTTTTTGGCTATACCTGCATCCAATTCCCCTTGAGTGATTTTCAAGGAGAAAGAGGGCCCATCGAAATTGAGAATTTTAGTGGGTATACCTCTAGTAATCAACTTGTTGGGTGTATTCTCAAACATTGTGAGAATACGCTTGGATACTGTTGATTAGAGAAAATTTGGTGAGTAGAGATGTGAAAAAGCAAACACAGCAAAAATCAAAAAAATTAAATACTTATCACACTAAATATAGAAACAAATTAGTAGAATCTAGGGTTTACGCCGAGATTGGGGGAAGGAGAAAGCAGCGGTGCGGGTGAGGAGGTTTCTCTGATTTTGAGCGTGATTTTACGTGTGTTTAGAAGTTGTATGAAAATCGGTAAGTCTGAGAGAGAAAAATCGGAGGATGGAGAGAGAAAATAAAACATAGCGTATTAAGTAGCTTAAGTGTAGGATAAAACCAAAATTAGAAAATTTGCTATAACCCATAAAAGGTATCTATATGAGGTAATTTATTTAAATGATATTTATTTTAAATAAATAGGGGGTTAACCTTTGCTATATGAGGTAAAAATTCCATATATTTATACCTTTTTCGGCAAAGAATTTGGACATGTTGAATCCATTTATTTCAGAGCAAAGTTCATTTATAGCCATTCGGGCCAAACTTTTAACACCCAATAGCCTAAAATTACAATATTCATTTTATAGCCCAAAAGTAATTCAAGTGGCTAGCCGAAAAACTTAACTAAGAGGGTCAGATCTGCAAAAGACAGATCGCGGAAAGAGAGGCGACCACGCCATAGCTGCAAAGACAGACCTCACTGTCGATCCTCGTAGATGCTCCGCCGCTTCAATCACCGCCATCATCGACTGTTTCAAACCATCAATTATAGTTTCCAATTATGAAGCTTCCCCAATTTGTGTCACCAATTTGATGTTGCTGCTTCTTCATTGAAAACATAATATGAGGCTGAGACATTGGCATAAACATGAGTAAGAAGATGGAGATGCGTCATCGGATGGATGTTCTCCGACCGAACTCCAGCAAAGTTTTTTACTGTTTTTGGGACTGATGAGAAGGGTTGTTTTGTGGAGGAGAGAGGCTATGGAGTAAAGAATAGAAAGAAACAAATTGCAGGATATGATGATATATATTCATACATCTTATATGATGATATATATTCAGGTCTTGGTTGAGATCCAAAAAATGGAAGTCAAACCAATCTGGAATTTTCTAAAATGGACCGCAAGCTTATACCAAGAATGCAAGTTTCATATGTGGTCACACTCTCAACTCTCTAGCTGGAAATCAGACATTTCATTTCAGTTGCAATAATTTGCATGTTCATGGTCTATATATTTGTAACTTTTACTACTTTAAGTCTTACCTCGGCAACATGTATAGTTGTTTGTCGGTCTGAGACCTTAATGGCTTTTAATTTCTACATGTTATGGTCACTGGTCATAGAAATCTTTTATATTGCGCGAGTTCAATTCTGTGCAATATAAAAGAGAACAATTGGTAGAGAGTTCAATACTTCAATATATTTCAGCATTTTGGGAAGTGAACAATTCTGCGCAAGCTTGTTATATGAGTTATTTTCATATCTGCATCTATTTTAATGCAGAAATAACAGCAAATCTGTTAGCCGGGTTCACTTTATATATACAAAATTTATACATTGTTGAACAATCTATACACTTTGGATACACAAAAGCACTCGGGATACATTAATGATATATTATGGATACATTGCAAGATGCACGATACACTCTATATACAAATTTTATGCAATGTATATACTAAATAGACTGTTACTATACAAAAAAATACTAAAATAGACTGTCACTATACAATTTATATACAATAGACTGTCACTATACAAAATATATACAAAATAGACTGTCACTATACAAAAATATACTAAATAGACTGTCATTATACAATTTATAAATACTAGACTGTCATTATACAAAATATATACAAAATAGACTGTCAATATATTAAATAGACTGTCACTATATAAAAAATATACAAAATAGACATTTCGGGCTATTAGATGTAATATGTTTGGGCCGAAGGGCCATTTCATGTAAGTGGGAAAAAACGTGGGCTATTAAAATTTTGAGGGGTTATAGAGGGTAGTTTTCTTTTTATTTCATATTGGAACTCTGATAATGGCATGGAAAATACGAGACGATTTGTTAACAGCAAGGATATGAGTAGACCAAAAGTGTAAGGGGTCGTTTGGTAGGATGCATTAGATAAAATAATGCATGCATTAGCTTTGTGTATTAATAATACATTGTTTGGTAGACATTTCGAACATATGCATTAGTTATGCAAGCATTAGTTATACATCTTATTTGGTATTATCCTATGCATAACTAATATATAGAAAATAATGGTATTAGCAATGCAATGGGTTTTAATGCATGCATTAGCTTAGTTCAAGACAAAATTGTCCTTCAACATTTATGCTTGATTAAAATATGCTAGTTATTATATTGATGGAAGTTTAAAATAATCCAAATAGTGAGAAATAAAATTATAGCCCTAGTAAATAAATAAATACTTACCATATTTCCTTTTTTATAATTAAATATTTAGTTCTATTTTACAATATAGGTAGACAAATTAAATAATTTTTTAAAAACTTTTTCATATAAAAATATTTCTCAACATATGTTTCATTTAGAAAGTTGAAGTGATGGATTGGTTTTGAGGGCATTTTTGTAAACAAACAATTCTTTTAGAAATTGCACAATGCTTTAATACGTCAAACCAAATAATGGATAAGAAATATGTCAGCATAACTAATATCAGCATAACTAATGCAAGCATAACTAATACTAGCATGACTAATACACCCTATTCAGCATTATTCTTATGCACCCTACCAAACGACCTCTAACAGAGAAAAAAATTGTGCATTGTAGATAGTACAAGGACAAATTTTGACCTTTAACCTAGAATTAATGATTAGTTAAAGAATTTAAGGTATGTGTACTAAAACTGTTATAATATCCTTATACGTTGGTTAAGTTACCTGCAATAACAAGTAATTGTTTATAACAAACATGATATGACAAGCCGAAAAATAAATTAGATAAGCCTGGAACAACATGTTAAACTACACAAATATAGTAAAACTTTCATTACACTGCCCTGTATATAACTTAAATTCTTATGTAATGAAACTAAAAATTGAATCACTTCCACTCATAGATACATAGTTCAAGAAACTTCTCACAATACTATATTCATACAACAACATCCCCAGTATAATCCCACAAGTGGGGTCTGGAGAGGGTAGTGTGTAGGCCTTACCCCTACCTCGTGGAGGTAGAGAGGACAGTACTATATTCATAGTCTCTCAAAATTTACACCAAGAACATAAAGAAAGGGGGCTATAGAACTTTAACTAGTTGTACTAGTTATATCAGAGCAAGTAAACCAATTATCAGTCAAAGAATTTGGTGAAGGTAGTGATTTGACTTGCTTCAACAATAACAAATTTTCTGATTCAGGGAAAGGAGGAGCTGTTGCTACTTTAGCTCTCTTCTCATTGTCAAATTCACTAGTCTGAATCTCCTTTAGAATATCCAAAACTTCAACCATACTAGGCCTCACATCCCTATCTGTCTGCAAGCATAGAAAAGCCAGTTCTGCCACTGAAGTTGCCATTTCCCAAATCTTGGTATCTGAATCGAACCCCAGAGATGGATCGATCAGCTCGTTAAATGCAGATTTTATAATCTTGTTTATTGCGAAGTTAGCCAAATTAATCTCTTGGCTATGCCTACTCATATCCACAGCTGGCATGGATGAAATGAGTTCAACAAGAACCACCCCGAAGCTATAAACATCGCTTTTACTAGTCAGCTGGTAACATTCGTGATACTTTGGATCAATATAGCCAGGGGTCCCCCGCGGTGCAGTTGAAATATGAGAGACATCATTTGGGAAGAGCCTTGAAATCCCAAAATCTGCAACTTTAACACTAAAGTTGTGATCAAGGAGTATGTTATTAGTCTTGACATCACAGTGTATTATGTCAGAAGCATGCAGGTAAGCCAATGCACCAGCAGTTTCTATGGCGATGTTCATGCGGATTGGCCACGTGAGTAATCCGTCCTTCGCTCTGTCACCATGGAGGTGATCAGCAAGAGTTCCATTAGGAATGTATTCATAGACAAGGAGTAGTTCACGGCTTCGCCTTGAAGTGCAGCCATAGAGGGTGACAAGATTGTTGTGCCTTAGTCTAGTAAGGATCTCAATTTCATTTACAAACTGCTCCATTCGCTTGCAGTTGTGCTCGTAGAGGCGCTTCACAGCAACCTCTCGACCATCCTTAAGTTTTCCTGTTCATTGATGGACAAGAATTAGCCACAAGAAGAAATAGTTGATGCATAGCTTAGTTGGACTAGGAAGTTTCTTACCATAGTAAACAGTTCCATAACCTCCATCTCCAAGTACTCTCGAGGAATTGAAATCATTTGTGGCCTCTTCAAGTTCTGAATAGGGGAAGACTGGGACACCGAAGAATATACTGCCTCCCTCAACATCGTGATTAAAAATATCTGATAGTTTCTTTGTCGAGAGGAAGTGGGATGGACTAAATTTACTCTTCTTGTAACGCCAGATAAAGTATACAACTGCACAAGTTATCATCACCGATCCTACTCCACCAAAAACTGGAAGAGAAGTCAGTAATTCCATGTCTTTGGACAAGAAAAAAGAAATAGCAAGGAGAAGGAATTTTCCCTCAACTCCAGTATCCATACGTTTTGTGTTACCTAAATAATTTAAGTCTCTTCTTTATGTTTCTTTATCGCGAGATAAAGGTTTTGAGCTTATACAAAATGATGAAAATTTAAATGATATGCATGAAAATTCTGTAATAAAAATAACATGGCAGCTATTAAATATATTTTACTACCTGTACCCAGAATCAGCTCCACTGTATTTCTTCGAGTTGATTCTTTTCTTTGATCAGTACTACCCCTAGTTGTGTTTGTATCTACAAAAGGGGGACAAGAAAGAGACTAAGGAAACATGTACTTGGCCTAGAAAGTATAAATTATTTTGGAGATGTCTACCTTCGTGACAATAAAATCTGTTGGTTTTATCAGTCTGGCATTGACCTCCACCATAGTGGCATCGGCTACAGTCCTCAGAGAGTTTCCATTCTACATGAATTTCGGGACCTAACAAGTCAAACAAATCACCATCTCCGGATACAGAGTGAAATGGCAATCTGATAAGTGAACAGTTGGTAGGAAGATTGTCTGCTGGAATGTCTTTAACATCATCATCTCCGGGAAGCTTGTAGTATATGCTGAAGCCTTTACAGCCATTGTACATTTTATAACCAGCAAAATGATCGTTCTTCTTCTGGGTAATGCTCGGGGTATTATTAGTGGTGCTGTTGCATTTGAAGAAGTTGTAAAGATTAAGTATAGGGAAAGAAACAGAAGGAGAGATTGGAAGGAAGAAATCTTTGTTAAAAGCCTGGCACTTGTGTTGATTCAATGTCGTTTGAAACTTCGCGTCCCCAAGCCAAATTGATGAATATTGCTTCTCTAAAGCATAGTACCAATCTCCTCCAGGAAGCAGTTGGATTCTGGGATGAGGTTTAGCATCACAACCAGATAGAGGGATTATTCCACAATCAGGTTGTGTGGAAAGAGAGAAAGGAAAGCTCAGATCAGTAAGATTCCCACAAGAAAAGGACTTTGGACAACTAGAATCGTTTCTGCCATTTGCCTGAACTAAGATCAGAAGAAAAGATAAAAGGAAGCAAATAAAAGAAGCAGCCAAAGCCATATTGAATCCTACTGCAAGAAGAGGAAAGCTAGCTGAAGTTTTGTGAATTGTAACTCTGGTTAGCTCACCAGATATCTTATAGGATCAAGTTTCATAACTTCTAAATACTTTCTATATTACTAGTCTTTAGCTTATTGGTAAAATTTGCCAAAAAGAAACAATATGTGAAACAAATTAACGTATAAGAAGGGTCGGATTTATTAGGGAAAAGAAAGGTGAAGAAAAAAAGTAATGTTCACATTAGCTTTTGCAGCATTGACACCAGTAGAAAGACTTGACTTCTTGACTCTGCATAGTAACAGCAACTTCTGACAATTTTCAGGACCAAATTCTCCAAAAATGATGACTAAAATTGTAGAAATAGAAGCTATACATCCAAAGGTGAAAAACAAAAGAAAAGGTTCTTGTTACACCCTAAAAGGCACATAAAGATAGTCTGAAAATGTCAAAATAACATTGCATACTTAGCTTCAAATCTTGTTCTTCTTATGGTTAAAACTCCATTTGCTCCTTTTGTCACTAGAAATTACCAATAAATTTTCTCAAGATTAACGGAGAACATACGGAGTAAAGTAGAAATATTTGCTACTATGTTCCAAGCCATCTTCTTTAAAAAGTTGAAAAGGAATCAATCATTAATTTTAATCCCTAGCAGTGTTGTCAAAGGCGCGCTTAAGCACTAAAGTGAGGCTCAAAACATGTTGAGCACTTCGCATCGCTTAGCGGGCGCTTTAGTCTTGTCATCAAGGCTCTAAGGCATACTTTTCCTTGCCAATGAGCATAGTGCTGAAAAGGCAAACCTAAACAATTGATATTTCACTTTATTGTAAAAAAAAAAAATCAATTTCTTTATCCATATATTTGTTATGTATGCTTATAACTATTAGTCTTAGACTACACATACATATTTATATTTTTTTTCTCCATTTGCGTCTTTCTTCATTAAAGCCCACACTTTATTTGCGCTTAAAACCTCGATGTACCTTAGAGTTTTTTTCCGCTTTTGATAACACTGATCCCTAGCTTAATGCAACACTTGACCCAGAATCCAAGACACTAAGGGGTCGTTTGGTATGAGGTATAAGAAGGTATAAGGGTGGTATAAAAATTTAATATCACCTTAATACTATGTTTGGTTAGCAAACCAGGTATAAGTTATCCTGGTGTTATTTTTAACACCAGGATAATTTATACCTTATAGAAGGTGGGGTAATTAGCACCAGTATAACTTATAACTTATTCTTAGAAATTATGCAATTGTCATTCTTAATACAACATACCAAACAATGAATAAACAACAATCTCAGCATAACTAATCCCGGCATAACTTATCCCAATATAACTTCTACCGGCATAACTTATACCGGTATAAATCGTATTCCAACCAAACGACCCCTAAGAGTCTATGACTAAGATTGAAACAATAGTGCATATCAGTATGACTATACACTCAAATTGAAACCATACTAGCACAAATTCCTAATGGATGTGCCCTCTAATTCCTACGAGTTCTCAAATAGATACCTCAATTTGTAAAAAGTAAATGTTTTGAACACTTCAAACCATGCACATTCTTCAATTGCTCTGATGTGGATAAAACAACCATCTTTCATTCTTCTTGGAGATTTGGTTTTGTAGTCTATTATTGTTATTATAGTTACATGATCTATCAGTGAAAAATTAACACAGGAGATGAAAATCATTGTAGGGTCATGTACTTCCATTCAAAATTTAGGTAGGCATAGAAAATTATTTCATCTGTTCTTTTTCTTTCTTTTTCTTTTTCATTATCTCTAATTACTTGTCTGTTTCACCAGTTTCAAACCCCAAGCCTCCTTGCCGGAAGCAAAACTCCGGCGAGCCTCACATTCTCTAATAAGAGTCATGTCTAGGACACCCTTTTTTTTCCGGTGAGTCGTTGGTTATTTCACTCCCAGCGTTTGCTACTGTTGCTACATTCATAGTTGCCGGAACACAGGATTTGATGATTGCTTTAGAAAATCTTCTTACCATAGTTCACTGTTCCATATCCTCCACCTCCAAGTTCTCTGTAGGAATCAAAATTCATGGTAGCTTGCCGGAGTTCAGCCCCCCCCCCCAAAAAAAACCTGCCGTCAATCTCGAAGCTTCGTGTTGAGGGCTCAGAAGGGGTGCTTCATGGAGAATATTAAAAAAACTTCTATTTTCCTTCTTGCAACAGTAGTTTATGAGGATCACTATGCAGATTGCTATGATCAGAAAACCATCAAGAACTGCAAAGCACTTGAGATATTAAACAGGTTACGTTTTATGGTTATGGTATTGAAATAGTTGCCCCTCAACTTATATAAGAATTCTAAGTTTGAGCAGAACAACAGAATATTTTTGTGCAAGTCTAGTTACAGATAAAAGTTACTGCTAATTATAGACATGTACCTGTGACTAGAGGTTGTGAGTTCCACCTTGACAAGGTAGGTTGCTCTGGTGGTAAGCACCCTCCACTTTCAATCAAGAGGTTGTGAGTTCGAGTCACTCCAAGAGGAAGGTGAGGAGTTCTTGGAGGGAAGGATGCCGAGGGTATATTGGAAACAGACTCTCTACCCCATGGTAGGGATAAGATCTGCGTACACACTGTTGGGAATAAATCCCGTAAAAATAATATTGATAAATGCAGAACACTAAGTTATGGTTAAATCAACAAGAATAGAAATGCAGCAATAATGACACTAAGATTTTACGTGGAAACCCTTCTGAATAAGGGAAAAACCACGGCCAAGAAGAGCAACTGATATCACTATAGCAAGGAATTTTATATTGTGTAGTAACGAGTAAAAATACTCTTAAGACCACTACAACCTCAAAAGAAATAAACACTCTTTTGCTTTTTTCAAAAGTAGTCCCAAGTTTCTTTTGCTGCAGCAAGAACACACAAATGATCGATTAGTTAGCCACAATAAGACTGAACGCAATGCACTTCCATTCACATTGATATATTAAACATCTTGGAAGGAACCAACCAACACAGAATTAAAGCTTTTCCACTGCCAGTGTATATAACTTGAACTCTTATAAAATGAGATTAAAAATGGAATCACCTTCATTCATAGATACATAGCTCAAGAAACTTCTCTATGTAGTACATTCATAGTCTCTCAAAATTTACATCAAGAACATAAAGAAAGGGGGTATACAACTTGAACTACTTTGTATTATTTATATCATAGCAAGTAATCCATTTATCAGTTACAAAATTTGGTGAAGGTAGTGATTTGACTTGCTTCAATAATAAAATATCTTCTGATTCAGGGAAAGGAGGAGCTGCTACTACTTTAGCTTTCTTCTCATCATCAAATTCACTAGTCTGAATCTCCTTTAGAGTATCCAAAACTTCAACCATAGTAGGCCTCATGTCCCTATCTGTCTGCAAGCATAGAAAAGCCAACTCTGCCACAGAAGTAGTCATTTCCCAAATCTTGGTGTCTGAATCGAACCCCAGGGATGGATTGATCAACTCGTTAAATGCACATTTTACAATCTTGTTTATTGCAAAGTTAGCCAAATTAATCTCTTGGTTATGCCTATTCATGTCCACAGCTGGCATTGATGAAATGAGCTCGACAAGGACCACCCCGAAGCTATAAACATCACTTTTACTAGTCAGCTGGTAACATTCATGATACTTTGGATCAATATAGCCAGGGGTTCCACGGGGTGCAGTTGAAATATGAGAGACATCATCTGGGAAGAGCCTTGAAATCCCAAAATCTGCAACTTTAACACTAAAATTGTGATCAAGGAGTATGTTATTAGTCTTGACATCGCAGTGTATTACGTCAGATGCATGCAAGTAAGCCAATGCACCAGCAGTTTCTACAGCAATGTTCATGCGGATTGGCCACGCGAGTGATCGTTGCTTCGCTCTGCGACCATGGAGATGATCAGCAAGAGTTCCATTAAGAATATATTCATAGACAAGGAGTAGTTCACGGCTTCGGCTTGAAGTGCAGCCATAGAGGGTGACTAGATTGTTGTGCCTTAGTCTAGTAAGGATCTCAATTTCATTTACAAACTGCTCCATTCGCTTGCAGTTGTGCTCGTAAAGGCGCTTTACAGCAACCTCTCTTCCATCCTTAAGTTTTCCTGTTCAGTGAAGGACAAGAATTAGCCAAAAAAAAAATGAAATTGTTGAAGCATAAATCAGTTGGATTAGGAAGTTCCTCACCATAGTAAACAGTTCCAAAACCTCCATCTCCAAGTACTCTAGAGGAATTGAAATCATTTGTGGCTTCTTCAAGTTCTGAATAAGAGAAGACTGGAACACCAAAGAATATACTGCCTCCTTCGAAATCATGCTTAAATATATCTGAGAATTTCTTTGTTGAGAGGAAGCGGGATGGACTAAATTTCCTCTTCTTGTAACGCAAGATAAGGTAGACAACTAAACAAGTTATCATCACCAATCCTACTCCACCAAAAACTGAAAGAGAAGTCAGTAATCCAGTTCTTTGGAAAAGAAAAAAAAAGAAATAGCAAGGAGAAAGCATTTTCCCTTAACTCCACCATCCGTACACTTTGTGTAATTTAAATAATTAGAGAAAGGTTTTGAGCTTTTACCACTATGAAAATGAAATTTAAATGATATGGATGGAATCTCTAAAAAAGTAATTAAATTGCAGCTATAAACTATATTTAACTACCTGCTGCCAGAATCAGCCCCATCATACTTCTTCTAGTTGTGTTTGCATCTGAAAAAGGGACAATACACTAAATATGTTATCGATATGTGATACGAAAACAAGAAAAGGCCCTAAGAATATGCACTTGACCTTGAACACGTAGATTATTTGGAGACGTCTACCTTTGTGACAACGAAAGTTGTTGGTAATATCAGTCTGGCATTGACCTCCACTATAGTGACATTGGTAACAGTCATCAGACAGTTCCCATTCTACTAGAACTTCGGGACCTAACAAGTGGAACAAATCTCCATCACTTGATAGTGAGTGAATTGGCAATCTGATAAGTGAACAGTTGTCAGGAAGATTGTCAGCTCGAATGTCTTTAACTTTATCATCTCCGAGACGCTTGTAGTATATGCTAAAGCCTTCACATCCATTGTACATTTTATAACCAGCGAAAGTGTCATTCTTCTTCTGGGTAATATTTGGCGTATTATTGCTGGTGCTGTTGCATTTGAAGAAGTTATAAAGCGTAAGCATAGTAAAAGAAATAGAAGGAGAGTTCGGAAGGGAGAAATTGTTGTTAAAAGCCTGGCACTTGTGTTGTGTCAACGTCATTTGAAGCTTCGGGTCGCTAAGCCAAACTGATGAATTATTCTTCCCTAAAACATAGTACCAATCTCCTCCAGGAAGCAGTTGGATTATTGGAAATGATTTAGCATCACAGCCAGAAATAGAAATTATTCCACAGTCCGGTTGTGTGGAAAGAGAGAAAGGAAAGCTCAGGTCAGTAAGATTTTCACCACATGAAAAGGACTTTGGACAAATAGAATCATTTCTGCCCGTTGCCTGAACTAAGATCAGAAGAAGAGATAAAAGGAGGCAAATAAAAGAATAAGCCAAAGTCATATTGTGAATCCTACAGCCAGAAGAGGAAGGCTAGCTGAAGTTTTGTGAGTTACAAATCTAACTAGCTCACAAGACTTCCTTACAAGATCAAAATTGTCGTAAATTTGTCAAAAAGAAACACTATGTGGAACCAAACGTATAACATGGGCCAGACTTATTAGGGAAAAGGAAGGTGAAGAAAAAAAAAAGGAAATGTTCACATTAGCCTCTCTTAGTCATTGACAGCACTAGAAAAACTTGACTTCTTGACTCTGCATATCAACAGCAACTTCACATCATTTTCAGAACCAAAGTCTCCAAAATGGATGACCTAAACTGTAGAAATAGAAGCTATATTCAGCTGTGGATCTACAACATAACGAGCAGCTTCAACCGAATCCAATAGCTTCGGCTCAAACCCTATAGGTACAAAAAATATGTTCTGAACCTAGAAAATCAAATAAATTGTGGGTTAAGAAACTTACGAACCCATAAAGTTAAAATCTTTGATCCGCCCCCGGCTATATTCATTTTCAGTTATCTAAAGATAAATTTAAATGGTTTGCACATACATCCAAAGGTGAAAGCGAAAAAGGAAATGGTTCTAGTCACACCCTAAAAAGCACTTAAATAGTATTATAAAATATAAATCAAACCTTCCATTTGCTCACTTTCTCATTGGAAACTACCAAGAAAGTTTTTCAAGTTTGTCAATATATAGAAAGCTAGAAATTATTGCTATGTTCCAAGCCATCTTCTTCAAAAATATGAGAAAGAATCAATCATTAATTTTTATTGCTAGCTTGTGAAACAAACCCAGGGCGGATTCGGCACGGATTTATTCGAAGCCAGTAATTTCGACCCGTAGTATAGATTTATTATGTGAAAGCACTAAAATGTCAACAAATATTATATTTGAATCCATAATTTTAAATGCAATAACTTCAGTACTACAACAACAACGACCCAGTGTATTTCCACAAGTGGGGCATTGGGAGGGTGAGGTGTTCGCAGTCTTACCCCTACCTGACGGTCAGAGAGGTTATTTTCGACCCTCAGCTAAAGAAACAACTTCAGTACTAACAACCTTAAAAATCCAGTACATTATACTAAAATCCTAAATCCAACTCTGGACAAGAGTGCATATAACCATGGCTTAATACTCAAATTGACACCAATATTTGCACAGATTTTTAAAGTAAAAAGTTCTTAATTGCATGAGTACTCAAATAGATACCTCAACTTCTAAAAATCAAGCCGTGTGTTCTTCAATTGTGCTTCCTTTTCAGTTTCACAAGTTTTTGAGCCTAAGAAAAAAGAGAGGGACTTTGAACGGAGAAACCGCTGCTTTTTCGGGAAATCAATTCTTCGCCGGAAGATTACTCCGGTGATCCCCTTTACATTTTCCGACCAGCTAGGGTTCAACAAACCCTTCCCCATTTTCCATTCCTCTTCCTCTTCCTCCTCATTCGTTAAACCCATTTTCATCTTCAAACCCTAACCTACCTCGCCGGGAAAGTAATCTCCGGCTAGCCTCACGTAAGAGCTGGTCGGAAATGGTATTTTGTCTTTTTATTTTTATTTTTATTTTATGATTTTAGTCCCTTGTTTAACAAAATCACCAAAGACATTAAACATAAGTTGAGGTAGACATTATACATAACACCTTTAAACTAAATATAGTCGCGAATATATAATGTACATATAATTTATGTATATATATGGATATAGTCGCGTATGGAGATTCTCGTAAGAATAAAGAATTAAAATATAATTTATACACCGACTAAAAAAAATAAATAATTAATATGATCGACTATATATGCAGAACTCTTAAAGTTAAGAGCTGCGATGTAGGCAAGACCTGGCCACGAAGGCATGGCGAGCAGAAGGGACGAAATGATCGGTGCACACACAAGGCGGACTAATCAGTCCACTCCATAAATGTAGGAAATTGACTGGAAAATGTTTGTGTTTTTCTTTTATAAATATATTATTGTTAGTTTGACATTTCGTCCTACATCATGATACTAACAAATTTTTAAGGTAATGTATTAGGAAATTAATGTAAGAATATAATATGGTTTAATACATGTACAAAGGGAAGAGTCCACAATTAAATTATGATACATATACTAGATATTTTACATGGTAGAATGGTAATACTCACTAAGTACTATAGCTATTTAATTTGAACCAAATTGAAAGAAGTAAAGAAGTATATTTTCCTCCACTTGGTATGAAAATTTTTTTGGTAAGGAGCGTTTTCCTCCAAATGAAACATACGCGATGCGAATCCGGATATAGTCGGGCTCCAATGCAGATACCGAACACCGGGTAGAAAATAAAATAAAAATATTTTCCTCCACTTAGACTTCAAAGAAAATGATTGATCTTCCCAAATTTTCTAACACTCTCAGCTTGACTTGGAACTTATTAGTAAAGTCTTGAAGAAGCAGACATCAAAAAAGAGGGACCTTCTGTATAGACAAGAAATTGGAGAAAATTTTCCACTCATCTTATCATTTGACTAGGTCTTATTAGAAAGGATAGAAAATAGCAGTTCTCTATCATTTTCACTCATGTGAACAAAACATGTCTATCTTTATCTTTGCATTGATTACGTTCAGAAAAGATTGACACGTTTATATATGTGGAACAATTTAATTTTGAACTTGTCACTTTATCCTTATTGAACACGGTTAAGACCAAGTTTCATTAATCCGGACAATGTTATGACATGTTTATTATCACAAGTTTCAAAAATCTTCTTTTTTTGTTGATTTTGTGCTAGATAAACTACGTCATATGAATTGAAACAGATGTAGTAGTATTTATGTTTCCTTGATATTTCTGTGGATTCTTTTAGACGAATTATATACGTCAAAATGTCTCATCACTTTCAAGTTCCTAGTGACTTGACTGCTAAATGAAGCTTGTGGCATCAGGTTTTCTGTCCACAAAACTGATGAATGCATCAATGAGAGTTAAAATGAACAATAATTATGAAAATGTGTTTTGTTAAGTGACCCTCATAGGTTTGGTTGATGGAGTGGATTGTTGTCTCCGGGGCGAGTTAGGTGGGCAGAAAGGGGTTCGGCTGAACCCTTTTCGTCGAAAATTACACTTACTAAATAAAGTTAATATTTTTCATGTATAATAGTAAGCGTTAAATCCCTTTAGTTTCTTTGCGTGTTTACTTTTTAAATTTTTTGAATCCCCTTGGTGGAAATCTTACTTCCGCCATCTAGTTATATGATCTTAGGTAATCCTCATATCACAAGTTTAGTTTTTTCGATTGAATTAATCCTAATGTCCATTGTATTCAACATGATATTAGAGTCGGGCTCATATCTATTTTTGGTTTACCAAATGTTGGACCCCTAATTACTGTACACGTTTTAAATGTCGATCCCTTGACATGCAAAAATGTTAAAACGTCCTACGTTAATTGAGAGAATGAGTTGTTGTGTCCTTGTTTTTGGCCTTTTGATGAATATAGCCTACTATATCTAAGGAATTTCTCCTATTATAAATAACCAAGTTTGAGTTTAACTAAGGCCACTAAACACAATTTGATGGTTGCTTTTTTTCCCCTCTACTTTTTGTTGCTCCCTCATAAGAGAATTTGTCACTCACTCACTATTCTTGAGCCGATGCTCTATCGGAAACAATCTCTCTACCTTCTTAAAGTAGAGGTAAGGTCTGCGTACATATTACTCTCCTCAGACCCCACTTGTGGGATTCCACTGAGTTTGTTGATTTATCGTCGCTAATGTTTGCTTTGTTAGCTTCCGCATGACGCTTTGTTATTTTTGATCCCAACATTTTCCTCAGTTTTTCCAACTTTTAACTTGGAAGCCAGTAGTTTGTGTCAAGGCACAGGAACAAGACAAAAAACACATTGATGTTTTAGAAAGGAAATAATTTCAGGAACATTGACAGTTAAAAAGCAAAAGTAGCATAACATATTTATTATATGTACATTGCCTATAGTAGATTCTGAAGTCTGAAAATACATTCTTTTGTAAATTCTTAAGATATTCACTCACCAGTGCTAGTTGTAGTAGAGCCACTAATCCATATCTCACTATTAGTATCTGATGGACTTAAGAACTTAACTTTCTTGAGCAGTGCAACTTCATCTGATTCAGGCGAAAAAGGAGGGATATTAACACTCTTAGACGGTTTCTTTTTTTGATTTGCACTGGGTGTCCGAGTCTCTTCGAGCCCCGACTAATCCTGGGGGTGCACAGGCCCTCGGCAAGGAGTTTCCCGCAAGTGCACCACGGTTAATTCAGGTTTTACCCAGTCCGATGGCCCTCAAAAATTGTTTGCATCCAATGGGTTTCGAACTTGAGATCTTGAAAGAGAGCAAACCCTTAGACTTGATTAAGTTAAAACTAGCACTAGTCTCTAATGTCTTCTCATTTTGGAATTTTCCACTCTGAATATTTCTCAAAATGTCCAATACTTTAGCTTCGCGACAGACATGATCATTCTCTTAACAAGTGTATCTGATGTAAACCTGAGCAATGGATCAATCAGTTCATCAAATGCACATCTTTGTATCCTGTTTATCGCCAAGTTAGCCAAATTGATCTCGTGCTTATGCCTAGTTATGTCCACAGCTGGCATTGATGATATCAGCTCGATAAGGACAACCCCGAAACTATAAACATCACTTTTGTCAGTAAGTTGATAACATTCATGATACTCAGGATCGACGCATCCAGGAGTCCCTTGAGGAGCAGTGGATATGTGAGAAACGTCATTAGGGAAAAGTCTTGACAGCCCAAAATCTGCAACTTTGACACGAAAGTCGTCAAGAAGAATGTTATTAGTCTTCACATCGCGGTGTATTACATCAGAAGCATGCAGGTAGGCCAATGCACTGGCTGTTTCTACTGCAATACTCATACGGATGGGCCACATGAGCGATCCCTCTACTGCTCCTTCGCCGTTGAGATGATCAGCAACTGTTCCATTAGGAATGTATTCATAAACAAGGAGAAGTTCACGGCTTCGTCTTGATGTGCAGCCGAGTAAGAATTTCGATTTCATTTATGAACTGTTGCATTCTCTTGCAGTTGTGCTCATATAGGCATTTTACTGCAACTTCTCTTCCATCATATAGTTTTCCTAATTCATAACATGCAACAACAGTGAGATACTGAGTGTTTTTGTCTTTTTAGCATAAGTCTTACATTTAAAGTTATACTTACCATAATATACAGTCCCAAAACATCCATCTCCAAGCTCATTGAGGAATCAAAATTATTGGTGGCTTCTTTAAGTTCAGCATAGGAAAAAACTGGAACCTGAAATCCAAAATATCTGCTCTCTACCTCAAGCTCCCGACGAAGTTGTGTAGAATCATTCTTCCTTCTCTTGTAACGCCATATAGAAAGGATGACAATGGAAGATACTAGGATCAAACCAACTCCACTAAAAACTAGAAAACATAAGACAAAGTAATCAGAGTCTGATTCTTTTGAAATGTACTATTCTAAACTACAAATGTGGTTATTGGTAACAAATATTGTTAATAACAGGCAACTACCTGCAGCCAGAATCATTCTCAGCTTACTTTTTTCTTTTTTTCCTGAAGTAAAAAAAGAAGCTATTTTAGATAAACCTCAATAGAAAACAAGCAGAACAATAGTTTTTTTCCCACAAGTTTCAGTTGCATATACCTTTGGAACAATGAAATTTGTGTTCGCGACCGATCAGGCATTTCCCTCCTTTCTCAAGACAGTGATGACAATCATTGGACAACTCCCATTCTAGCAGAATATTAGAAGTCAACAGTTCAAACAAGTCACTAGCATATAGTTTAGATGGTGTAGGCAAAGGAATTGGCAATTGTATTATTGAACAGTGATCTGGAAGTTTGACACTTATCTTAGCACTAGAATTTCCCAATGTTTTACTGGGATGGTGATAATAGACATTGAAATCTTTACACATTGTATTTCTCAAAATCATGAAAAAAGGCATCAGTTTTCTTCTGCATGATGTCCTGACTGTAAAGAAAGGGGCTATAGAACTTTAACTAGTTGTACTAGTTATATCAGAGCAAGTAAACCATTTATCACTCAAAGAATTTGGTGAAGGTAGGGATTTGACTTGCTTCGACAATAACAAATTTTCTGATTCAGGGAAAGGAGGAACTGCTACTATTTTAGCTCTCTTCTCATTGTCAAGTTCACTAGTCTGAATCTCCTTTAGAATATCCAGAACTTCAACCATAGTAGGCCTCACATCCCTATCTGTCTGCAAGCATAGAAAAGCCAGCTCTGCCACTGAAGTCGCCATTTCCCATATCTTGGTATCTGAATCGAACCCCAGGGATGGATCGATCAACTCGTTAAATGCACATTTTACTATCTTGTTTATTGCAAAGTTAGCCAAATTAATCTCTTGGCTATGCCTATTCATGTCCACAGCTGGCATTGATGAAATGAGCTCGACAAGGACCACCCCGAAGCTATAAACATCGCTTTTACTAGTCAGCTGGTAACATTCGTGATACTTTGGATCAATATAGCCAGGGGTTCCCCGCGGTGCAGTTGAAATATGAGAGACATCATTTGGGAAGAGCCTTGAAATCCCAAAATCTGCAACTTTAACACTAAAATTGTGATCAAGGAGTATGTTACTAGTCTTGACATCGCAGTGTATTACGTCAGAAGCATGCAAGTAAGCCAATGCACCAGCAGTTTCTATAGCAATGTTCATGCGAATTGGCCACGCGAGTGATAGCTGCTTCGCTCTTTGACCATGGAGATGATCAGCAAGAGTTCCATTAAGAATATATTCATAGACAAGGAGTAGTTCACGGCTTCGGCTTGAAGTGCAGCCATAGAGGGTGACAAGATTGTTGTGCCTTAGTCTAGTAAGGATCTCAATTTCATTTACAAACTGCTCCATTCGCTTGCAGTTGTGCTCGTAAAGGCGCTTTACAGCAACGTCTCTTCCATCCTTAAGTTTTCCTGTTCATCGATGGACAAGAATTAGCCAAAAGAAGAAATTGTTGAAGCATAAGTTAGTTGGATTAGGAAGATCCTCACCATAGTAAACAGTTCCAAAACCTCCATCTCCAAGTACTCTAGAGGAATTGAAATCATTTGTAGCTTCTTCAAGTTCTGAATAAGAGAAGACTGGGACACAAAAGTATATACTGCCTATCTCAACATCATGTTTAAATATATCTGACAATTTCTTTGTTGAGAGAAAGCGTGATGGACTGAATTTCCTCTTCTGATAACACCAGATAAAGTACACAACTAAGCAAGTTATCAGCGCCAACCCAACTCCACCAAAACCTGGAATAGAAGTCAATAATCCAGCCATTAGGTCTTTGAAAAAATAAAAAGGAGAAGGCCTTTTTCCTTAACTCCGTTATCCATACATTTTGTATAACCTAAACAATTAGAGAAAGGTTCTGAGACTACCTGCTGCCAGAAACAGCCACACTGCACGTCTTTTAGTTGTTTTTGCATCTACGAGAGGGGAACAATGTAACGAGATATATTATCAATATGTGACATGAAACAAGAAAGGGACTAAAGAAACATGAACTTGACCCTTGAAAGTATATATTATTTTGGAGATGTTTACCTTTGTGACAATAAAATTTGTTGGTTTTATCAGCGTGGCATTGACCTCCATCTCCACCATAGTGGCAGTGGTAACAGTCATCAGATAGTTTCCATTCTACTAGAAAATAGGGAACTAACAAGTTGAACAAATCACCATCATATGATCTCGGGTCAATTGGCAATTTAATAAGCGAGAACAGCTAGCAGTAAGATCGTCTGCTAGAATGTCTTCTTCATCAGCTCCATCAAGCTTGTAGTATATGGTGAAGCCATCACAGCTATCGTACACTTCATAATCATTGAAATGAGCACTCATTTTCTGGGTAATGTATGGGGTATTATTACTGTTGCTACTGCATTTGAAGAAGTTGTGAAGCGAAAGCGTAGTGAAAGAAATAGAAGGGGAGTCTGGAAGGGAGAATTTATTGTTAAACGCCTGGCACTTGTGTTGCGTCAACATGGTATTAAGCTTGGCGTCCGCAAGCAAAACTGTATAATTAAACGGCTTCTGTAAAGCATAGTACCAATCGCCTCCAGGAAGCAGTTGGATTCTTGGAAATGGTTTAGCATCACAACCAGAAATGGACATTATTCCACAGTCAGATTGTGTGGAAAGAGAGAAAGGAAAGCTCAGGTCAGTAAGATTTCCGCATGAAAAGGACTTTCGACAAGTAGAGTTAGTTAAACCATTTGCCTGAACAAAGATCAGAAGAAGAGATAGAAAAAAACAAACAAAAGAAGAAGCCAAAGCCATACTGAATCCTTTTCCAAGAAGAGGAAAGCTAGCTAAAGGTTTGTGAACTATAAGTCTAACTTGCTCACAAGTCTCTCTTTATAATATCAAAAGTGTATAAATTTGTCAAAAAGAAACACTATGTGGAACCAAACGTATAACATGGGTCAGACTTATTAGGGAAAAGGAAGGTGAAGAAAAAAAGGAAATGTTCACATTAGCCTCTCTAGTCATTGACAGCACTAGAAAGACTTGACTTCTTGACTCTGCATTCTAACAGCAACTTCTCATCATTTTCAGGACCAAAGTCTCTGGAAATGGATGAGTTGAACTGTAGAAATAGAAGCTATATTCAGGGGCAGATCTACAATATAACGAGCAGGTTCAACTGAATCCAATAGCTTCGGCGCAGAACCTATAGGTACAAAAAATATGTTCTGAACCCAGAAAATCAAATGAATTGTGGGTTAAGAAAATTACGAACCTATAAAGTTAAAATCTTTGATCCGTCCCTTGCTATATTCTCAGTTATCTACAGATAAATGGTTTATAGATACATCCAAAGGTGAAAGCGAAAAAGGAAATGGTTTACAAAAAAAAAAAAAAAAAAAAAAAAAAAAAAAAAATCAAACCTTCCATTTGCTCACTTTCTCATTGGAAACTACCAAGAAAGTTTTTCAAGTTTGTCAATATATAGAAAGCTAGAAATTATTGCTATGTTCCAAGCCATCTTCTTCAAAATATGAGAAAGAATCAATCATTAATTTTTATTGCTAGCTTATGAAACAAGCCCAGGGGCGGATTCGGCATGTATTTATTCGAAGCCAGTATTTTTGACCCGGAATATAGATTTATGATGTGAAAGCACTAAAATGTCAACAAATATTAGATTTGAATCCATAATTTAAATGCAATAACTTCAGTACTACAGCAACAAACTATCCAATGTATTTCCACAAGTTGGATCTGGGGAGGGTGAGATGTACGCAGCATTACCCCTACTCTGAACGGGCAAAAGAGGTTGTTTCCATAGACTCTCACCTAAAGAAATAACTTCAGTACTAATAACCTTAAAAATCGAGTACATTATACTAAAATCCTAAATCCAACTCTGGATAAGAGTGCATATAACTATGGCTTAATACTCAAATTGACACTTATATTTGCACAGATTTTTAAAGTAAAAGCACCTTAATTCCATGAGTACTCAAATAGATACCTCAACTTCTAAAAATCAAGCCGTGTATTCTTCAATTGTGCTTCCTTTTCTGTTTCACAAGTTTTTGAGCCTAAGAAAAAAGAGAGGGACTTTGAACGGAGAAACTACTGCTTTTTCGGAAAATCAATGCTTGCCGGAAAATTACTCCGGTGATCCCCTTTACATTTTCCGACCAGCTAGGGTTCAACAAACCCTTCCCCATTTTCCATGCCACTTCCTCTTCCTCCTCATTCGTTAAACCCATTTTCATCTTCAAACCCTAACCTACCCCGCCGGGAAAGTAATCTTCGGCTAGCCTCACGTAAGAGCTGGTCGGAAATGGTGTTTTGTTTTTTATTTTTATTTTTCTGATTTTAGTCCCTTTAACAAACAAACAAAAAAATCACTGTTATAAAATAAAGACACTAAAAGAGAGAAACTGATATATTATTCAAATTCTTATATCAACTGAAATTTAATTGATATATTATTCGAATTCAAACTGATATACATAATGAACTGAAATTTTTTTTATTTATAGAAGAAAGAAAGCTGCTACTGCAAGCTGCGATGTAAGGTGCAGTGTAAGTTTCTACTGCAAGTTGTGGTGTAAGCTGCTATTATACCAAATATGGATAATCTTCTACTGAGAGTAATGTTTATCCATAATGAAGTACTGAAAGGATAAGCTCATTATATTAGGTATAGATAATTTTCTACTAGGGTAATGTTTATCCATAATGAAGTACTGAAAGGATAAGCTCATTATATTAGGTATAGATAATTTTCTACTAGGGTAATGTTTATCCATAACGGAGTACTGAGAGAATAAGCTCATTGTACCAGGTATAGATAATCTTCTATTGGGGTTAATGTTTATCCATAATGGAGTACCGAAAGAATAAGCTCATTGTACCAGGTATAGATAATCTTCTATTGGGGTTAATGTTTATCCATAATGGAGTACCGAAAGAATAAGCTCATTGTACCCGATATGGATATTCTTCTACCGGGGTAATATTTATCCATAACGGAATATCGAAAGGATAAGCTTATTATATCAGGTATGAATAATCTTCTATCGGGGTAATGTTTATCAATAACAGAGTATCGAAAGGATAAGCTTATTATACCTGATATGGATAATCTTCTACCGGAGGTAATATTTATCCATAACCGGGTATCGAAGTGATAAGCTTCTTCATGAAGCTTATTTCCAATAAAGTACTAATATATAAATATATTTACGACGGAGTCCCATATTGATATAATATAATATCCATATGTGCCAAAATGAACATCCATAATATAATATATTTATAACACTCCACATTGGATGTTCATTAAAAGATAATGTGCCTCATTAAAACCTTACTAGGAAAAACTATGTGGGAAAAAATCCTAGTGAAGTAAAAAGACTACACATATTTAGTAATATGCATTGCTAAGTGCCTCATTAAAAACCTTATAACGAAAACCCTGTGGGAAAAAACCTTAATAAGAAAAAAAGAGTGCATCGCGTATTTTACTACCCCTGATGAAAACCTTGTTTCAAATATTTGAGTCCCCGCATTCTAATCTTGTATCTGCATAACCAATACGATCTGCACAACCTATAAATGCATAACAATTACACTAAGATAGAATATTTCAGGACCAAGGAGTTCATCATCCTCTTCTGGAGGTCGGAACGGATCCTTATTCACTTCAAGTGATCGAACACCCATTGATGTACTTAATGGGTGCGCTTTGTCCATGAAAAAACGTTTAAAGACCCTTTCTGTATAGGCAAATTGATGGATAAAGATCTCGTCTGCTAAATATCAAACCAAAAATAAATTTTTATTTTTCCAAGATCTTTCATCTCAAATTCTTTCTTAATATATTTAATTTCTTTTGGAGCTCTTCTGAATTTCCAAAAAAATTTATGTTGTCAACATAAACAGCAAGTATAACAAATTCTGATGACATGTTCTTTATAAAAATACATGGACAAATAACATTATTTATGTAATCTTCTTTCAGCAAATATTTACTGAGGCGATTATATCACACGCGCACTGATTGCTTTAAACCGTACAAAGATCTTTATAATTTGATCGAGTACATTTCTCAAAACTTTGAATTATATGCTTCATGCATTTTCAATCCTTCAAGGATCTTCATATAGATTTAATCAAATAAGTCATATAGGTTGAGATTTGTATCTAAATTGTATGACATCTTCAAGTGTCTGGACTGTTGGTCCGATCCTCACAATCTTTTATAATATTGTGCACTATATTGTATCAAATATATCGTCAACGGTCATTTTGTGTCAGTTCTTAAGCGATATAACTTGTTGAGATCTCATCACTTTCTTTATTTTCAGGTATTTGAGCTTCTTCGGGAGTTTCATAAAATATTATTTCGTGGGCTCTTCTAGAGCTTATTTCCTCCTCATTATGATCATTTTGATCATTAGCTCCTACCATTTTTCAAGGATTGTTACCTTTGGAATCGATTGGTCTACCACGCTTCATGCGTACAGTAAACTCTATCCTTCAGGGACTTTAATTTTAATAGGAGCATTTGTAGCTGAAATATGATATTAAAATTTGGATCAGCAAATGCTTCTGGCATTTGACTTGAATTATCTTCTAAGTGAGGATCATATTAATGATAATTCGATTCATATAGCATATCTTTCAGCTGTTTATTCCATCCCCCAAATGTTAGAAAATTAACATATATCCCCAATCTTCTTTGGGAAACATATCTTTATGTATTGTGGTAGAGAAATTAATCATATACCACACATCAAAAGATAGTAAAAATATTTAATTTCTGATCCTAAACCAATTGTGAGGGGAGGACTTTATCATATATTGTTGGTCGGATGCATACAAGTGCTGTTGTATGCAATTTAGAATATCTTAGACCAACACATAAAATTTTGTTCTCATAAGCAATAGTTTAGCCATTAGTAGGAGGTATTCAATGCTAAACCAGCTTGGATATAAACCATCATTGTCAAGATGAACTGTCTTGATTTCATAATCTGAAAGTTATGCTCTTAATTGAGAAAAGCAATCTCAAATGCCAAACTGCAGGTTGACAATAAATATACATGTAACCATCTTATATATGTATCTATAAGTGGTTCACGTGATAGGTGAATGGGCTCATATTCACCTTTTAGTTGGTATAATCAATTTATTATGAGAACAAGCAACACAAGAGAATTCTTGAAGAATCTTCTAGTTCTTCAATATATGCTTATCGGAATTCTTAAATAGCTCATTCAAAAATGGCAAATGAAAACTTCAAGTTTATCATGGCATGTGGTATCTCTTAGTAAACTTCTGGTTTACTATGACATAAACTTTTACATTAGTAAACTTCTAGTTTACCGTGACTGCTTTTGCATTAGTAAACTTCTGATTTATTGTGATACATAATATAATATAAATTGAAGAATAAGGTGGGTAACTTCTCACATATATATTATTTTACCCCCTATGATTGTGAAAACATGAAGATTTTCAATCTTCCAGTTATTTGTAGTCTCAATATGATAGTCATATGTATTAGTAAAATTTAGGTTTAATACAATATATGTTTTGACCAACAACAACAACCTAGTATAATCTCACTAGTGGGATTTGGGGAGGGTAGTGTGTATGCAGACCTTACCCCTACCCTGGGGTAGAGAGGTTATTTCCAAATAGACCATCGGCATCCTTCCCTCCAAGAACTACCCACCTTGCTCTTGGGGTGACTCGAACTCACAACCTCTTGGTTGGAAGTGGAGGTTTCTTACCATCAGAGCAACCCCTATTGTCTATACAATATATGTTTTGACCATAATCATATAACATGAATGACATATTTGTATATAAGATCTTGGAGAGCCTTCATTTATTATCCACAATCTAATATTTATCGGACATTACTGGTGTCATATGTCTTTTAGGTAAACAGTTAGCTCTTCAGGAGTTGTTAATACATTTTGTACTATCAAATATTGCTCATACACTTCTCATATCATAAGAGAAAATCACAATCAAATAAATAATGTAAAACAATTGTTTAAGCACAAGAAAACTCTTCTTCATTATATTTTCCTATTTCAGGAGGCAATTTCAATTGTGTTACTTCTTCATGAGCAAATTTAAAATACGAAATATTGAGTATATATTCTCTCAATTATATTACCTCTTCTGGAGGTGAATTGTAATATATTCACATCAAGAGCGCGTTCATATTTACCAGATTTATTAATATTGTCACATTCACTTTAGGGAATGGATTAATATTATCAAAAATTCTCATCATTCAGGAAATCGAACATAATTATCTGAGTGCGCATTAATCACATCAAATTATGATGTCTCAACCTCTTTTAAAATATTTACTTACTTCAAAAGCAAATTGAGGCGTGCATTTAATATAGAGAATATTTACAATGAGATATACGAAATATAACCACTTCTGGTGGTTGTATATTTCTTGCAAACTCTGCTATTGTTTAAGTTGATCTAATAATGTTATTCATATTCTTCAAAATGACATAAATAAGATATATTATAATAAAAATCATTATCAAATTATAATTTTTCTTTATGTACAACAATTACATAACCATATTATCTATTACATACAACAAAATTAAAATATTTACATTTCTACAGATTCACCACCGATTACATGATTTGTTTCTCTTTCTAGGAGTGCAAGGTAATCAGCTACATCCAAATGCATGAAGTCTAAATTATCTTCAGAAATAAAATTTGCTTCGGCATTTTTCTCTATCTTCTTTAGGAAGACTTGATAAAGCTCAACCAGGTGCTTTGGCGTACAGCAGGTACGTGACCAGTGTCATTTTCCTCCACATCTATAGCATGCATTTTCTGCATTTGGTGCTTGCACCGCTTCATGCGTTTGTTCCTTCCTTCTTCACTACTAGTGGTGAGGAAGGTTCTTTGGTGCATTATTATTACAATGATTAAAATTTCTTCCCCGACCACGGCCATGACAATGACTGGGGCCACGACCTCTTCCACTTCTAGCTTGGTGGAAGTTCGTCTCATTCACTTCAGGGAAGGGACAAGTACCAGTAGGCCGATTTTCATGGTTTTTCATTAATAGCCCATTATGTTGCTCGGCTATAAGAAGATGTGAGATAAGTTCAGAATACTTTTTAAATCTCATCTCATGATATTGTTGCTGCAGGAGCATATTCGAGGCATGAAAAGTGGTGAAAGTTTTCTCTAACATATCATG